ACTCAGGAGAATTGCATACCTCTTTCAAGAAGTTACTCACAAAAATCATATTTATTTATTTATTTATTTATTTATTTATTTATTTATTTAAAGCATGTTTAATAGCCTAACCACCCAAGAAACCAGTGCCTAAGTCCCTCCCATAGCATGTCTAATAGTATTTCTCCAGCTAAGATGAAGGTTACAAGTTCATATATCTATAGGTCTTTACCTCTCAAAATATGTGCTCTCATTTCTGGACATCTTTGATCATTAGTAAACTCTAATACTGAACCAATAAATCTTTCTCTCTTTTACCACTGGCCCTTTAGGGGCAAATATTCTGGAGTTTGATCAGCAGGAAATATTTGACAATGGTGAAAGGCAGATTCATATTCTTATTTTCTGAGCAAAAATTGCCCCAATTCTCTGAATTTCTCCAATTTGCTGATAATAGGTTGTTGACTTACTCTGAATTTCTGGAAAGCACTAATCTTTGCTACTTACCACCTCCTAGCTGTGAAAGCTGATATACAGGCTCTTCTAGTTTCTGCCTTAATTATTTGTTTCACTTTCACCAACTCTTAGAAAACTAAACTGTGTCACCTTAACATGTCATTTATAAAAAGATTAAAAAAATAATAATTTCATAAGATTAGGTTTTCAAACAGTTGGTGATTATTGAGTACCTAATCTCTCCTTTGCCAAGTCAAAAATTAACATCTATATTGTTTTGTGCAATTTTTTGGACTGGACTAAAATCAAGAGACCTGAGTTTTACTCTCTCTTGGTATCAGTTTCTTATTTGTAAGTTGAGGATGTTAATGGTCTCTAAACCATTAACTCTGGTTTATGTAACCTCTGTAACAAAGCTGGTGTCTATATGTTGTAGTACAAGAAAACCACCTAACTTCTGTCATCGTAAGTCAGAAAAATTATTAACAACAAAAAAAGTTATGTGAGAGTTCAGACCACTTGTGCTTTATATGTGAGTTGCTTCAGTGGATTAAAAAACTATAAACATATGTATTATATATACTATTATGTAGGGTATGGCAATTGAGTTGGTACACAATAGGTTAACAAGAATAGAAGTAGAAAGCTGGATAAAATAAGACTGAGTTATAGTGCTGTCTAACCCTTATAAAACTTTCTGGCATTTGAAGAACTGAACAGTGCAGCAGATAAAATGATTCTCCTTTAAGCAGAGCCCAGAGCAAGGAGAACACATTGCCCACACTGCCTTCTGGAACATTTTGTGAGGCAAAAGTGTATACACTATAAATTAGTAGCATTCTTCCTTACTAAGAAGCTTCTTTTTCTTGATGTACCATTTAAACAACACTCTTTAAAGTTGAATAATAATGGACCTCTGTTGAGTGGCTTAATTTTAGGAAGCATTAATGTCAAAGATGGACCAGAGAGTATATTCTCTGAGACTTAGAATACAATGCAATTGCTCTCAATATCTGAAAAGCAATGCTGATGTGAATACTTTGAGACTTTGAATAAGGCAATCTGAGCTGCTCATTGTATTTCATTAAAGCTCACAGGACACGACTTTATACTTCCCAGTTTGACCTCTGAAAAAGCTACATGATCTGAATTTTTGTCCATGATTTGCTTTTCTCCCGATTTTCTCTCTCTCTTTCTCTCTCTCTCTTTCTCTCTCTCTTTGTTCACATATTTATTTCATACATTTTCCTATATAATCTATGAATAGCAGTACTGCTTATCAATTGTATTTTATTTACATAGATTAAAGGAGACATCAAAATGTTGGGCACTGATTTCCTTTCTTTTGAACTGCTCAGAGTCCTAAGCAGTTATTGCTTGGCTTCTAACCTGAATTTTCAAACACCTTATATTACATCTCTTCAAATACCTTATATTCTTTTCTAACTGAAACCTTTTTCCACACAAACATTGATCCCTTCAGAAGAGTCAGTAGACAGAAAGGGTACACACACACCCTGCTAATGTTTCTGAAAAGAAAATCAAATAGGCCGTCAAAGAGCATGAGCATTGAGTGATATAAAAAGGAGCAATTTCACACAAGAAAGTTTTAGTTTGCTTTTTGTATGTTTTTCCATTGTGGTATGTAGACGTTGTAGCAGCATTATAAATGCAGAAGGGATATTTGCAACAAAGATATGCAGAAGATGATCTGCAGGTGTCAGGGCAACTAAGAGAACCTCCGGGGTAAAACCATAGAGGACTATAAGCTAAGACTGAGGTAGAACCCTGTACGATGCATTATGGGAGCTGAGCCAAAGGTACCAGATAGCGCCAATGACCTTGTTTGCCAGAAATTAGAGTTTAGTGACTGATTTGGAAGGATACGTAAGCCACAGGATAATGCAAAAGTCTCGGACCCAATATAGACTGGAACTTCTAAGGAGACCATTTCTCTAAGGCAAGGATAGAAGGTTCTCACCCATGTTGTTCATTTGCAAGGTGCTTGAAGTTAGGCAATGGCAGGTTGAATACCTCCCAGTCAGTGTTGAGCACTCAAACTAACTGAGTGGGGTGTCTTCTACCGCCCAACCACTGCTTTTTTGTGCCAGGGACATCTAGACCTAGAGATTTTTTTTTTTTAATATATGTTATTGATTTTGTACAGAGAGGAAGGGAGAGAGATAGCGAGTTAGAAACATCGATGAGAGAGAGTCATCGATCAGCTGCCTCTTGCACACCCCCTACTGGGGATATGCCCGCAACCAAGGTACATGCCCTTGACTGGAATCGAACCCGGGACCTTTCAGTCCCCAAGCCGACACTCTATCCATTGAGCCAAATCGGTTTCGGCTAGACCTAGGGATTTTAAATGTATTGCTTTTGATTTCATGGAGCTCACTTCAACAGTAAAAGCTAAGTATCAATATCAATAGCTTAAATTTCTCTTGGATTTTTTCTTATATTTCTGATAAATTTCTTATGAAGAGTGCCCTTAATGGGCACCCATATAATCCCCAAGGCAGTGCCTATTTTTAATACAATGTCAGGGCTCAGTCAGAAGAACTCCAAGTATTGTTCCCTTTGTTTTGGTAAATTCTGTAAATGAGCTCTTACCTGCACCTTTATGTAAGGAATCACTGTGCAGGCCAACTGTTCCTTTCTCTAGATAGCTTATAAGCATCTGGATAAATTTACATTAGAAATTCAATTAACTTTATATTAAAAGGTCAATTAATTTGGCCAAGATAGAGATTGTTTTTAATTACTTTTCCTTGTAGGGCTTCTCTTCTTATCCAAGTACAAGTGGCACTATCAAGTGATAGTATCACTGCCTGTTGGGTGCCTGAAATGCATATACAAAGCACACTGGAAGTGACTGCCTTGGTTAAATGAATTAACTCTTGGCAATTTATCACTCTTATAATCCTTAGGATTTAACATACCAGTAAGCAATATGGAATATTTTAGCTCAAACAATTTCTATAAGATCATTCATGGAAATATCCTTTTACATTTGTCCTTGTTATTTTCTATTTTCTTGGTGAAAGATGATAATAAAGTAAATTTATTTTAAGGGTTAATCCTTATTACATTATATCACAGTGTATTTTATGATAAATGGACAAATAATAACATGAAAAAGTATTGTCTTATCCATTAGCATATTTTTGGTTATTTTTGTGTTAATATGGGCCAACAATTCACTCTTTCATGTGGTACTAAAACTCTTACACTTAAGAGACTCAAGAGATTACCACTTGTCCCTATGTAACATCCACTTGTTACCAAATGGTAACAATACTAAGTAGTGATTGTTTGAAAAGAAAACAATAAAGAAAGAGGGAGGGAGGGAAGGAGTAATATAGAATAATATATGACTACATTTTCTAATAAAAGGCTAATATGCAAATTGTTCCCTAAGGAGTTTGACCAAAACAGGACTCTCCCTATGTGTGCTGACCACCAGGGAGCAGCGTAGAATGAAGGAAGGCCTGGGCTGGCAGCCCTGATTGCAGGACAGGCCTAGGGACCCTACCCATGCACAAATTTTGTGCACCGGGCCTCTAGTGTTAATATATTAACTCAGGCCTCCAGATGACCAGCAACTTAAAAATAAGGCAAACAACTCAGAAGTTTGATGTGAGGCTAAGTGTGATGATGAAATCTTTTGTTTTGTTTTTGCAAAAGGGATGAGCTTGCATGTTATAGGAGCAGTAAGATTGTGCTAACCACTTTATAAATGTTATCTACATAATTCTCACCACCAATCTATGAGATATGATTCATTTTTCCCATTTTGCCAATAAGAAAACTGAAGCCTACATTTCAGCAAAGGCCACACAGTTCATTGGTGGCAGAGTCAGAAACTATGCCCACCTCAATATATCTTCCCAGACTCCCCATTTTCCTCTAAGGTAAAGACACTGGCTCTAAGAGTAGTAATACAATGAAAAGCTTTTAAAAGGGGGCTGGGGAGTGTGCTGAATTCTTAGAGGGCAGATTTGGAACAAAATCAGAGGAAGGGAATGCATTAGGCAAGTGCAACTCAAAGAGTAGCCCACAAGGGGATAAATCAATTATGTCATTCAGCATAGTTTTCCCCTATGACAGCAAGTTTTCAAAGAAGGGAGGGATGCATTTATTTACACTCCAGTGCAGGCTTCTTATCTCTGCTTCTCATCTTTTCCTGGACTGTTTGCAAACCAGCATCCAGTCCAGGAACCACACTTTAAAGTGGGAAAAGCTTAAGAAATGTCTTACAAAATTTTCCTTCTCTGTGAACAGTTAAATCATTTTGGATAAAAGTTGACCAAATATTTCCTATGTTTTCCCATTTATGAAAAAGAAAGCTAGATCTTATCCACATTACAGATAGTAACAAAGGCTGATGTCATAAACCCTTTAGATCTATGGGGACATAACCTTAGTTGAAATGGTATTGTCCTTACAAGTTTTAATAAACTAATCTCTTCCAAAAGTAGTTTCCTAAAGAACGTACAATATTACCATCAAACAACATTAGTTTGGAGTGAAATTCAAATTTTAAAATGTGTTAATCATACCTGCACCTCCACCAATGCTTAGAATCTTAATTTCTGATTTTTTGTCTCCAATCCTGAAAAAAAAATATAGTTTAAGAAAAATGTGCTAGATGCTTGGAAAAATCTGATTATTAAGTCTAGTTGAAGACAGCAGTCTAAAATTACAGTGAACAAAAGCTAGGCCAACATGAAAGATTCCGATTTTTTCGGTAGTTATCTTGCTGCCTTTAGAAATCTTTAGAAATATAAGTTCTATTCATTAACAATTTTGAACTGGTAGATATTTAGAAACACACTATACACATCTCAGAGGTAAGGTAAATCATTTTTGAGAATTGATTTGGAGAACAAGAGAAGAAAAAGTGAGTCCTTGAGTCTTAGGATGTAATTAGGCATTCGCTGTATATGGGGGAAGGTCGAGGTGATTCATACTATGTCTATGTCTGCCTTCTTTCCTTTCTTCTTGCTACGTCTTCCTAACAAACAAACATTTATTGTATGCCTAATCTAGGCCCTGAGAAGATAAAGATGAATAAGACACTCCTTTGCTCTCAAGCAAAATGTGAGATGATAAAGCCTGACATTATAGCTCTAGTGTTAGAATTAGAGTGGAATTTATGGCCTGGAAAATAACACTATTACTTGCTTTAGGTTGATGTAAAGGGGTCAGAAACAATCTGACTGTACAGTGACTGCCAAGTTTCAGGCTTGGCAATGACATGATGAAGCATGGTGCCCCAAAAGGAAACTGGAGAATATAGCTCGATGGCAGTGTTACTCGTATGTGTTCTCAGGGCTTTTCTTTTTCTTTTTTTGCTTGTTTTATTTTGTTCTGATAAATCTGAATTCAATGGACATTTTGATATGCATTATTTAATCTGGGTGAGAAAGAGATCAGGATAAATGATGTATTCTGGAGAATTATTGTCATAAAGTAATGGTCAAGACCAGAAGAGTAGATTCCAATCACCCAAGGATATTGCAAATACTTAGAAGGGTAGTGGGATAATGAGGTAATATCAACTTTTAAAAGTCACTGGATTATGGGACATACAAAAAGCAGACAGGGAGCAGCAAAGCTCAGAGATAGATAGGAGTAGTAGAGAAGGAGAAAGCCATCTGTAGTATCAAAGATGGCAAAGTAATTTTTTTTAAAAAAAAAGGAAAATCTCCATTGAATTTGGAAATATTAATATGTTTGATAACATCAATTTTAAAAGTAGGTTGAGGGAAGAAGCCAGATGACAGTGGGATTTAAAGTGTGCTTGAGAGATTGCTGAAATGGGATGAAAGAGTGAAAAGAAAAGGGGTAACTATTAGAGGGGAGAAATGAACTGAAAGTATGTTTGTTTGTTGGGCTTTAGGATATAAACAAGTCTACTCTTTGGCTAAAGTTAAATTGGAAAGTAGACTCAAGGACTCTCATGAATGAGTTGCCTTCCTTAGTTCTAATTATCTTCCAACTCATAATCATGAGTCTTAATATAAATACACATTCCTATTTATGTTTTTGGTTAATATTTTAAAATGCTCATATGTGTGGATAGCATAGTGAGACTATGGATTGTAAGGGTGGGGAACCTTTTTCCTGCCAAGGCCCATTTGGACATTTATAACATCATTTGCAGGCAATACACAATTATCAACTTAAAAATTAACCTGCTAGCCTGGCTGGTGTGGCTCCTTGGTTGAGCATTGACCCATGAACCACGAGGCCATGGATTGATTCCCTGTCAGGGCACATGCCTGGGTTGCAGGCTAGATCTGCAGTAAAGGATGTGCAGGAGGCAACTGACCAATGATTCTCTCGCATCATCGATATTTCTCTCTTCCCTTCTTCCTTTTCTCTGAAATCAATAAAAATATATGTTTTAAAATTAGCCTGCTATATTTGGTCATACATTTAATTAACTCATCCATAATGCCTTGGCATGGTCAGACCAAATGATTTCAAGGGTCTTATAAGGTCTGCAGGCAGGATATTCCCCAACAAGGATGAAATCCCAGTTTACTGATTTGTTACCTTTAGCAAGTTATTTAACTTCTCTGCCTCTTTTTCACCTATGAAATAGAATAATAATAATATGTTTGTAATAATAGGATTACAATAATGGTATCTAACTGATGGGTGAGTATGAGGATTAAATTATTTAATTCATGTAAACCTCTTAGACATGTGTCTACTCATGACAAACACACAGCCTATATTAGCAATGATTATTTAGAATTAGGAAAGAAAATTCCATCAGAAACAATTGAAAGATTTTGGCAGAATGTTGCAAATGGTTGCCTCTGGAAAATGGGTGACAGGGTTGGGAGTGGGTAGGGCAAGAACTAGTTTTTTTGTTTTTGCTGTTGTTGTTAGTAAGCTTTTTAGAACCATTTAACTTTCAAAGAAGATTTTTTTTTAGAATGAAAAATAAAGCAGGTATGCTGTGTACTTACATAACTTAGAAACAACTTTTAGCAGCAATTTTAAAGTTCCTTCAGCTAAAGCTCATTCCAAACATCACCTTGGGTGGAGTAGCTGGGGGATTATTTTTTAAATAAATGATACTTTGATTTAGATAATTTCTAATTATGTATTACCATTATAATAAACACTTATTATGCCTTTGAAAGCTCTTCAATCTTTTACAAATTCAACATCTCCAATTGGATTGCAACACCTTGAAGAGAAGGGTCATCATTTATTATGTATATCCATGCATGGTGCCTCTTCAAACCACACCAATAGCTAAAGAAAACCAAGTGGCTGGGTAAGCTACAGACATTTAGTTCTGCAAAAGAACTCAGAAATTAACTCATTACTTTCAATTTTAGAAATTAACCAAGAAGACCCAAAAACATAAACTGTAATTAGAGCCTAGATAAGAAGTTTGTATTTGCTGTCTGCTTTGATATTTACACCATTATTCTATTACTTTTGAATTATTAAAATTATACAATACTCTACTTTTAAAAATCACATTTGAATTGTATGTCAACTGTAAATTAAAATATTAAAAAAATTAAAACATATTAAAAACTAAGCCATAAAAAATAGGAAGGGAAACGATCCCATATACATCCAGCAAAGTCTCTCTGTTCAGGCAGAGTTCCACATGGGGAATGAATCTCAGGCCTATGCTAGAGAAAGCCAGCAAAAGATAACTTTTCAGTGTTCCTTGCTGCTGCTTGATTGGATCTGCAGTCAGCCATTTCTTCCCAGTTTTCCATCATTATTTCCTGAAGTAGAGTGAGTTACAGCAATCCACCCCTCCACAGGTGATTTGATTATCTTTAGCACTGGAATCTGTTACTCCCATAATGCTTATCAGCCCTGGCTCAAATTGAACACATTAATCACCAAAAACAGCAGTCTGCTCCAAGGATAGGAGCTAGTGAGGTTCACTGGTAATGGGAACATGCTTTTTCTTTTGGGCCACGTTGCTAATATTAAGTAGAAAGGATTTTTTTTTTTTCAGCATGATAATCATAATAATGGATAAGAAAAAGGAATTTAAATGGATATTAGGAGAACTGAGAGCCACCCATTCAATTCTCAGGGGCAAATAGTATTTTGTAACTTGATTCTAATGAGAAGAATATTAGACTCCTTTAGGGGCATTTTTTTTTAATGCGAAATTTAGAGGAGGGATGAAAAAAATATGAACTCAAAGATTTGCATCTTGTCTTTCCCCGAATGAACATGGATTTGTGCCTTCAAATAGTTAATGCTTATCTTCATGCAGCTGGAAATACTGCACAAATGGGATCCTTTGAATGTTTAAAGCAAAAGTCAAAATAAAGAATCGCAGGGAAAGGAGTCCAGTGGGAGGCAGAAGGAGCCGAGCCGGCAAGGCTCTCAGCGGCGGTTCTGGTTCTTATCTGCCTCGCCCAGTCGGCGGGGCTGGGCTCCACCCGCCTATCGCTGAAAGGAAAGCACGGAGGCTCGTTCCCTTGACAAAGCGTCCTTTTTTGTTACCTTGCTATTATGCCTGGCAGCTTCTTGTCCAGGAATTCCTGCATGCACTGGTGTTCCGTGGAGTTGTCGAGAAACCTCCGAAAAGATTCAACGTATCTGCTGTGATCTGAAAACAAGCTCCTCATGGAAGATGCCATGTTTGGTTTTCTGAAGAGGACAGGGAGGCAGGGAGGGAGGGAAGGTTTAACTTCCCCTCTCCTTCTTTTCCTAGTTCCTTTTTTCTCTCCCCACCCCCACCAATTTGTAGTAAAAAAAAAAAAAAAAAAGTAACTGGCTAGGGAAAGGCTGTTGTGCAAAGCTCCTTACTAACTCAGCCTTCAGTCTTTGTATGGGACTTTGCACTGTTACTTTAAGCCCTGTTTTAAAACTCCCGAAGTTCACAGAGTGTTGTAAAAAACAAATTACATTCTAATCAGTTCCTGTTTGGTCAGCAGCTGTCTAGGAGTAAGTTCCAAGTGGGAAAGTAAGTGGCTGTTTTCAGGGCCAAAGGGGACAAGCAGAAGTAAACACGCCAGCTACAGAGCTTTCTTAAATTCATAGCTGCTGAAAGTTTTGACATTTGACTGTCATCACTTTCCTGCTTTCTGTGGATCTTCATGCCGTCGTATCCCTTCACAGTTGAACTCTAAACTCATTTGCTGCATTTCTTCAAATACTGATTAATGTGTTGTGATTTAGGCTCTTTAGAATAAACGATCAGAGAAGAACCAGAGAGCTATTAGCTACCCTGTTTCCCTGAAAATATAAGACAGTGTCTTATATTAATTTTTGCTCCCAAAGATGCGCTAGGCCTTATTTTCAGGGGATGTCTTATTTTTCCATGAAGAAGAATACGGTACACATTTATTGTTAAATGAAAATAAAGGAAATTTATTACCTGTGTACGGTACGGTAGTACGGTAGTTGTCAACACAAACCAGACAAACTGTGAATCCTACAGTATCAAGAATTTACTCATTCAATGACAATCATGTCATCATTTTCTGGAACATCATCATAACAATTCAATTCCTGAATTTCCTGGTGAATTTCTTGTGACTCCATTTCTTTCAGAATCAGTGGACCAAATCTCTCATGTTTACCCTAGGGGGGCCTTATTTTCAGGGGGATGCCTTATATTTCACTCAGAAGGAAACCTGTAAGTAGGTCTTATTTTCGGAGGATGTCTTATTTTCGGGGAAACACGGTCGATTTGGCTTATGAGATGACTCTCCAACTGAGCCACACGCCAGGGCGATACGTCATACTTTTTTTCTTAATGGACGTTTGGGCTATTCTAATTTTGGCTATTTTATGAATAAAGTTGGAAACATTCCTTCACATGTATTTTGATGGATATATGCATTCAATTTTGCTCCCATGAGTGAAAGGTTATGTTAAAGGATAAGCAAATGCTTGGTTTTAGAAGGCATTGTATAAAAATTTTGTAAATGTCCACAATCACCAGCAAAATACAAATAAGGATATTAAGTAGCGTCGTATCCTCATAGATTCGTGGTATTGACGGTTACTTTTGATTTATTACTTCTGTAGGATCTCTTGGTTTTCATTTTCATTTTTCTCTGAATAATGATTTTGAGTGTTTTCAAATACTTGTAGGTCATAAAAGGTGTATAACTTTTTATAAATGACCTGTTGAAATCTTACATCCATTTTAAAAACTATATTGTTTCTTTTCTTGATTTATAGTATATTCTAGAAAAGTCTTGTCCTGTTGTGTGTGTGTGTGTGTGTGTTTAATAGCTTGAAATCAGCCATGGTGGGAACCTTCACTCTATGGAAATTGGCAAATGCTATGAATCAGGACTTTGCCCTCCTCCACCCCCCCCCCCCCCCCCCGCAAGAGGTTAGATGTTAAACAATTAGCAGCACCCACTGCTTTTAGTCCTGTGATTATTTACAAAGCAGCTGCCGTTACCTTGAACCTTCTTCATGTAAACTGACTGAGTTAATGCAATGCAGCAAAGTCCTCCTTTCTCCAGTCTCATAAACTTTCAGGAAAGTCTGATCAATTAAAGTATGCAAGAGGTGGCCCCATTGTCCAGCATTTCTTAATTAATTAATTACTATTATCCAGAGACTGTTCTCAATATACCTCCTAAGTCTTCCACTAACTAGTATGACACTGGGCAGATCATTTATGTACCCCGAGTCTCATTTTCTTACCTGTGAAGTAGAAATAATAATCTACCTTACAATATTTTGTGAAGATTAAATGAAATACCATGCATAAAGTGTTCAGCAAAACATTTAGTATATAGTTTTCTCTCTGGATAGACTTCAGTTTCTTCAGGTGTATGATGAAGACAATAATATTTTATGAGCCATGATCCAATCCAAATGGCAGAATTCATGCCACTGAGTCCAAAGGGAATTTTTAGTAATGTTTAGTAAACTAATGGTAAATGTCCTGGGAGAACTGAAAGGGCAAGCAGAGATGGAGAGGCAACCCACCAGGAAGCCTCTGCTTCCTTGGGGGCTGGGGGCATAAGGGAGAACATTGTGTTACCAAAGCTCTGGACCCCGGGCTACCTAGTATGAGCTAGAATCAGGAAGGGGCACAGGCCACCTTGGAGAGGTTGCCTGAAACCTAAGGAATGAGCAGAAATGCCCAGCATCTTCCTTCTTCCTACCCTCTCATTGTTGCCAGTACCCCCCTTTACTAAAACTAACTGAAATCCACTTGGCAAGAAAGCTTGGGCAATGTAACTTACAGGATTCAGTTCCCTATAATATTGAACAGAGCAAGGGGAGGATTAGATATGGATCTCACTCCATGTAGACAATGATCAGCACGAGTGCCACTAGGTGAATTTATTGTGAGAGTTAATTTTTTTTTTAATATAAAGCAAGACACCTATAACATTAAGTGCTCCATGAAAGCTAGATAATGCCAGTAAAATTATAAAAATAAGTTATTTTCACTGTATTATGCTAATATTATATTATATGTTGTATACCTGATACTATTATAGTCTTTGTGATAGCTACAAGGTCAAAGGAAGGCTAGTATTCATGAAATCTTAAAGAGCTGATATGATTGTGTTCATTAACTCCTTCAGAACATCAGGAGAAATGGCTTTGTTTGAGGAGGGTATTTGGTTGGAAAGTATTTTTTGGAATTCCTCAAGGTTCAATAAATTTAATCAGAAAGAACCATTAGTGGGCATCTGGGACTCCTCTAGCCTCTGAACATTTGAGAGGCTGGTCATGAGCTGGGTCCATAGGCGCCTCTCTCCTCAGGACTCAGAAGGAATTAGTAAATAGAGTAGTGTGTGATGTCTGCCTGATTCCACTTGTGACTCTACTTATTAGTTCCCTGTGTGACTTTAACCAAATACTTAATTCTGTTAGGCTTGAATTTATTCACATGTAAAGAACTCAATCACATCATCTCACTTCCACTTCTAAAATTCTGATTATCTGGATTTAAATCCATTACTCAGTGGTATGGTTGATATTTCAGGTTGAAAGCAGGAGAAGTCTTCTCAGAAATTTAACACTCTGTATGCCTCATTCTCTAACTCTTTGTTTCTCCCTCCTTCCCTAAATTCAAAGCTATTTTTCCTTTTTAAGCATAGATTATCTTACCTAATAAAAGAGAAACATGCAAATTAACTATCACTTTGCTATGCTCACAGCCAATCAGAGTGAGTATGCAAATTAATCCAACAAAGATTGAGGTTAATTTGAATATGCATGTGCTGAATGGTGTGAAGCCTGCTATGTGGGGAAGGAGGGCAGTGGAGAGAACTACTGGAATGGTGCTCCAGACAGAAGCAAGGACTTGCCGACTCCAGGAGGCCTGGGAGCAAGGATGTGCCGGCTCCCAGGAGGCCAGAGAGTGGGGACTTGCTGGCTCCCAGGTATCTGGGAGTGAAGCCAGGGGCCTATTGCATGAATATTGTGCAATAGGCCTCTAGTCTATATAATAAAGCCTGAACGACCATTATGACAGAATGACCAGTTGCTATGATGCACACTGACCCCTTGCTCAGCCATAAGTGGAGCTCACAGATAGTGGGCACAGTGGTGGTGGTGGTGGGAGCCTCTCCTGACTCCACGGCAGCACTAAGGAGCAGTAACCAGGTGGGCAGTAAGGATATAGGGGTCCCAGACTATGAGAGTGATGTTCGCCAGCTGAGGCCTAGGCAGATACCCCCGAGGGGTCCCAGACTGTGAGAAGGTGCAGCCTGGGCTGAGGGACATCCCCTGCCATCTTTTCCCCAATGCAGAAATTTCATGCACTGGGCTTCTAGTATCATCATAATGCACTATTTGGAAAACATAAGAAGATCATAATAATTACTCATATGCTCTCTGATAGTAGAAAATAATAAAGATCTCTTTATTGATTGGCTAATTAAAAATAAAACAAAAAAACAACATAAATATGTATATGTATGTCTGTTCTTATTATTTCCTATGTAGGCATCTAAGAGTTATTGATACCAATAGAACCTGAAGAGTAGGTTTCTTTCCCAAGAACAATGCTTGACGTTATACATGAGGTGTCAGCCAGTTTAAGTAGCTAGAAGATGGCCTTCCTTGAATACATGTGCTCTTACATCAATTCTGAATGCATTTTGTGCAGTCAAATGAAATTTACAGTCAATAAACAGATGATTACAGGAGGAAGTATCATATATACTACGTGCATATAAGACCTCTATTCTGCTAGTCCAAATACATGCTTCCATTTGTGTGATTCTAGCAGCAAGAAAATGCAGATTGGGTTAGAGGTGGTGAAGGTACATTTTGAAAATATGATTTTGAGAATTCTGAATACACGTGTGGGTTATCTTGCCTCTGAAATGTCACTCCACAAAAAAAAAAATAAATAAAAATAAATAAAGCCACAATGATTTTTTTTTTTTTCTTCTCATCTGCTTTTTGGATGCCAAAGAACCGTTGGTTGGTATTTCAAAGTTAGTGAAAACTTTTCACACTATTGAGCCATTCATTAGTCAGATAAACACTAAAAAGCTCACCTGATTTTCATAATAATGCTGTAGAATCATTTCCCTAAGATTCATTTTATCACCTTTTTATCTCCAGTCAAGAGTAAGAAATGAATGCATATTGGAATTTAATTTGTTTAGGGAATTCATTTTGTTTAATTTGATTTTAAAGTACT